GATCGGTTCGATTTGAGTTGACTTACTTACCCTGTGGTTAAAACCCATTAACCAAATTCTCAAGCTTGATCATTATAATCTGCAGATGTAGATACTGTAAATCTTGTTTATATTTGTCTTATTCACCCTGATAGCTTCAGGTCCCACAGCGGATCCACTTTTGCGGATCCCCTGCGTATTTGTATCCGCTTTATGACTGTTGCTAACCCTATCCTTTGGGCACCCTGCTGACAGAGAGAGGATATGTGGCTAAATTATCTTAGATCCGCACTGTGAACACACTTTTAACGCAACACTAGTTAGGTTTGTACTATTAATGAGTGGATCTGTGGCTAAACTGTTCCGGACACGCCACTGACTTATCAGCCGGGCCTGAGTGAAAAGAAGAAGCACCCGTCTGTTTCTGTGGATTTAACTGTAAGTAATTGTTAAAAAGTAAATTTTATTAGTCATCATTAATGTACATAACGTTAACATTAGCTTGTGATGTCTGTAGGTCTGTGATTGTGTGTGTTTTATCAGTGTTGACAAGTGCAGTAGCAATAAAGTTAGCGACAGGAGCAACTAATGTGGTGAAGACGATACAGGTCGGGAGTCGGGACAGCTCCATCTCTTGAGCTAAATTCCAGTTTAAATACTATTTTTATATAACGCTACTTATATTCATATATATTTTTATAATCATGGAGTTGTAACTCTGCTCTGCGATCAATGGTCTTATCTAGCAGGCTCGGTTCTGGCTGGATGCTGCTCTTGATGCTCTCCCCTCAGCTGTGGAGTGACTGCGACACTGGTGTCTGAAATTGTTGTATTTTTAACCACAGATAATTATTATTTGTGTAGAGCAGGGGTGTCAAACTCATTTTGGTCCGGGGGCCGTATCCAACCTACTTTGATCTCAAAGGGGCCGGATCAGAAAACTCATGGCATATGAACCCCAAAAATAACAAAAAGTTTAAATATTTGTGCAGAGAAACACAAATCTATTACAGAAATCTTTTTTAAATGATGAACTCTTTCTTTTACAAAATATTATAATATTATGAACAACCTGAAACTTTAAGAAAAATACAATTTCCTGCAAAATCCTGCACTCAGCTCCACTTTTCTCATTTGTGACATTTTGCTGATGAGGGTGTCACGGTCAACAGTCAAAACGATCGTCCTTTAAGAGCGTTTGGAAAGAGGCAATTCTTCATTTGTGCTGCTCTGGTGGGAGGGGCCATGCACAGAGGCACTGGAGACGCTGCTGTGATAAACACTACAGAAACAATATTTTAATAGAAAATATAATTACAATATTTTAGTAGAACGTCAGCTGAGGGCCAGATTAAAAGTTCTTGGAGGGCCGGATCTGGCCCCCGGGCCTTATGTTTGACACCTGTGGTGTAGAGTGTTGCCTGTTAAGATAAGACTAAAGTGCAGTCATGTCAGTGCCTTATTAAAATAACATTATGTAATACAAGGCACAAGTTTTAACAACAACTAATGTTAGCTAACCAACCAAAACATATTTTGTTTTCCTCAGATGAGCCCTTCTGCTGAGTGTCCCCATCAGGAGCCCCTGCACACTCTTACAGAAGTAAGTACTTTACATGGTTTCTGTGACAGTAAGGATTCAGTTTATAGACAGATCTGACTTTGTCTCTAACTTCCTGTTATGGGACTTGAGATGGTGCTTCAAGCTTTCAGTGAAAGATCTGACATCTTGACATGGCCACTAATATGACACATCTAAATTACACTGATACTGACCATGAGCACCATCATAAATTGATTATTATATTTTAAATGTTGTGGTAAAAGTTTATGTAGTAGAGTATTGCATATTGTACAGCAGCGAAATATTAGTTCAATTATACTGTGCTAAAGTCCTGTCCTGTCAGTTAAATAATGTTTTTCATCTCTGTTTCAGAATATACTATGGTTAATAAGAATATTTGCGGATCCGCTTCGTTGTCAACTGGACTCTGTTGCGGATCTCCGGGTACATCCACTGCGGATCCGCCGTGAATACTTTTTGCTATTTGGGCACCTTTTTGCACTATCAATATACGGCACCAGCCACTAAACTCAAATACTCAGTCTCTCGAGGTTTTACTGGTCTCCCACCTCCATGTCCTATGTTTCTGGCCCTAGCCCTTACACGTGTCTATCTTCCCCCTTTGTTCCTATCATACATTTTAGATATACTACACTAGCACAGGTTTTGTC